GCAACTGGTTTTTTAATTCACAAAGTACAAAACAGTGCCTTGGTCTGAAGAGGGGAGATGTCTAGAATAGGGCAGAATACAGAGGGCTAGTCTTGGAGTTGAGAATATGGTGTGGGGCCAAGGACAGGAACCCAGTACAGAGAGTGTCCAGTTCCCAGAACACCAACAGTTCAGCTCCACTTCCCAACTTCGTTGGCGACACACACATTCAGATCCATACACTTGTTCTTCAGGGAATGTTTCCAGAGGCAGACGCCTCACTTAAGAACACAGTAAGAACTATTAGGGACTTGAGGCCCTAGGAAACTTGGGGGAAGAAAGGAAGAGTTGCCAAGTGACTAGATGGGCAGGGAGAAGTGGAGCAGGGTCTGGGAGGAGAGCGCCTAAGATGCGAGGGCAGTCACTGGGGAGGTCAGGCTGCAGGACTGAGGCTTGGCACAGTGTCTTCTGCCCTCAGCAGGAAGGATTTCAATGAGATGTGCAGAATGTCAGAGCTGAAGAGGACCCTACAGATACTCTAGTCCACTTCACAAGTGAGGAAGATAATTTTGATTATTTCTTTAGAGACACCAATCCTTAAGCTCTGCATTTAGCTAAACCCACTGGCACTGCGGCCACCCCGCTGCCATTTGGGGCTGGCACTGTGTGGGTGTGGGAAGAGGAGAGTGGCCAGTCTGGTGACAGAGGGGTCAATGGGGGAGGAAGAAGGGTCCATGTCACCTCTTAGCCCAGGCAACTCCCTCCTCTACCCCTAGACATCCCTGGGTTGGCCGTGGTTTCACAGCTCTCCCAAAGGCCTGGCGGTCACCTTCCCTCTGTTTCCAGACTCCTATATTCTCGCTGAGCCTAGAGAAGCCATCCCCACGTCTGGGCCTCTTGTGGGCACTGCCAGCCTCAGAGCAGCTCTGCAGATTCCAGCCCTGACAGGGACTCTTTCTTATAAGCAGTCATGTGCTTGGGGTATGGGACGTCAAAGGAGGTCCACACCCTGACACGCAGGGGCCAGAGCTGGAAACCGGGGCTGGGTGGGGAGGGGGCTTCAGGCAGCAAGCTCTTCCACCCACATCTTCTCAAGAGGGTCTGAGGCCATCCGCTCCTTTCCCCCACCCACAGTTCGAGGCATTGGACCAAGCCATTCCACGTCTTTCCTTCTCCAAGTAAAACAAAATGCACATTGCCCGGCTTCCTTCCTCCTCTCACCGGAGCTGTGCATGTGCACCCACACCCCCACCCCCACCCCAGTCATGCACACGCACGCTCACACGTGCCCCACGAATGCACACCTCACATTCCCAAACTCACAGCCAGGGCCAGCTCCTTTTACAACAGGTCCCAGCCGCTCACATCTCAAACCGGTTCTCATGCTCTCAGATTCCTGAAGGCTTCAGAAAACAATCTCATTTGAGGGTTGCTGATAACTCTCTTCTTTCTTTGCCTCCAGTAATTCAGCCTCAGGAGTCCTTGCCTACTGTCTTACAGCCCCTCTCTCATTCCACTCTGCAAAGACTCAAGGAGGTGAGGGATGGGGGTGGAGGGCAGGGAAGTTTCTTACCACCCCCCACCCCCACAGGCTTTCCCCCAAGCTCCAGGGAACATGTCACTGAGAGAGAGAGGTCAAAGGGAGTCCGGAATTTCTAAGCAGTCCACCCCTCCTTCTCCACCACTTCTGGAAAAATAGAGGGGGGTGGCTAGAGGGAGCTGACTAAAGATCAGGCTCTGAGAGTGGGTAAGTCTCTCTCTGTCTCTCTCCAGTGTGGCCTGGATGGGGCACAGGCAGTAGCTGGCTGCCCACGGGGCCACCCTCACCCGCTGACACGGTTATGGTTTTCATTTCATATTTTGGAGGGAGGGGCTAGGAGGAACAGTTCCCTCACTGTAAGAGCTGGCCACAGAAGCCGAGGAAAGCGGGGAGGAGAGGAAATAGCCACATTAAAGAGGAAGAGAGGGTGGGGGAGAGAGAGAGACACACACACATACACTCAGACAGAGACTCAGAGACCCGGAGAGACACCGAGACAGAGAGACACTGTTTGCCACCAGATGAAAGCTCTCAGTCCCAGGGATGGTGTTACTTGGAAACTGTAAATATGTGACTTTATCAAAACTCTATCCCTAACAAGGAGAGAAAACAACCAGGTAAACTAATTGGCCAGGCTGGCTCTACCGGAGTCCGGAGTCCGCCCTGGGGGACAGGGGAAGAGTTTCCCTGCCCCACCCCCATACCTTTTCATTCAGCTGTAACCTGAGCCCCAGGAAAGGATTAGGTCTTTTTAACCACTGTTGCCCCCTCTTTCCCCCCCAGCCTAAAAAAAAGAAAAAAGAAAAGAAAAGCAAATTAATGCTTTTAAGTTAACAATTATCTTGGTTATCCAGTCTGTCTACTTTAAAACACACAGACAGGCACTTGAAAAACACTCAAAACCATGTACACTCATGCTCACTCACTGCCAGTCATACAAGCTACCCACGCCTCATCCACACAGTTCTCATAGGCGCTAACACATCCACGTTCACACTTACCTATGTCCCCCGGGGATGGTCGTGGTGACACACACACACACCTTTACACTTAGGGCTCCCTTCCTCCTTATTCCATACTACTATGGTTTTTCCACTGAGGGACTCTCCGGAGAAAAGGGACAGAGACCCAGATATCATCAGAGGTACTAGTAACTCCACGCAAGATACTTGTGAAGGGTATTTGCGTTTTAAAGACATGCCAGAGCTTCATTTCCAGGCATGTCTCATTAAAGGCATACTTCCCAGCACTGGTAGTATCTGGGAGATCTATCTGCGGGCAAGGGAGGCCTCCCTGGTGCCCAAAGCACTCTGTCTATGGGTAAGGTTGTAAGGCCACCCTGTAGAGTCAGTTCTTGTCCTTCCTGCAGCCTCTGCCTGCAGATTTGGGTCCAGAGACAGCCCTCTAACCCAGCAAACCTGCTGTTAGGCAATCTCTGGCAGTCTCAGTTATAGATTTCCTGAATAGCAGGGTCAAAGGTAGCTGAAACGAGGGGCTTCAATCCTATGCCAAGCTAGACTCAAGGATCAGAAAGAAGGAAGATGCCAAGCTAATCACAGAGCAGTTGGAGCAAGTGTTGGCCTGTGAGCTGAGATAAGCAGTGGAGAATACTAGTCTCTAAGTTCCTAGGGGACAAGGGCCTCCAACCTTGGCTGCATTTCCCACAGCACCCAGCAGGGTGTCCAATGAATGAGGAAGCCCTAGAGTACCTTGGAGGAATTGAGTCCTCTGTCCCTGAACGATGGGGCCAATCTCCCAGGCTTGAGAGCCTTGGCTTGATAGCACCTGTCCCTTCCAGGGGTCTCCATCTATCCTTGGGACCTCCTTGACTACACTGTTTGCTCTCTCTCCTGCCTCCAGCCCCCCCACCTCACTAGGCCACCATAGACACTGGCTCCAACTTGAAAGAGGCCCTTATCTTGTCTCTAGATTACTGCACGAAATCTGTTCCTTCTTTCAGACTAAACTCCCCAGCTAATTCCATGTTATGAGTAAGTCAGCACGCACTACAACAGCCAGCTTTGTTTATGAAAACACAAGCAAATCCACAGTGGGGAGAGGGGCTGCTCCCAGCTGGGGATGGAAGGGGTGGTGGGCTGTCTGGAACCAGGACAGGAGAAGAGACAGTTTGGGGTTGGAAGGGCATGGGGGTGGGGTCTGGTCTTTGACAGGTGAGGGTCTCTAGGGCTCCAGTTCCGTAAATGGGCAGGTTGGAGAGAGAAGCGGTTTGCTGAAGATGCAGTGTTTTGGGAGAGAAGGGTGGCATTGATATAAAACCTTCCTTTTAACAGCGGGAGCCCATCCAGGACCCAGAGCAGCTTAAGCACCAAGTGCTCAGGCTCCGGGACACAGCGACCTCCCTGCCAGACACTCAGGCTTCCCCAACTCCGAAGTTCAACTTTCCCTTCTGGCTCAGCCACCTCCTCACCCCACCCAGCTTGGCTTCAGGAGCCCCCGGGACAAAAGGCAGAATAATATCCTCCTGGGCAAAAGCCTTGCCAGAAGGAATTTTCTTTTCGTCCATATAAATCTCTTCATCGGTGAGGATGTGATAGAGGAGGGGTGCAGCAAGAGGTCAAGAGGGAGGGGAGGCTGTCCCCAAGAGAACTGTCCTCACACCAGCGTGGTTTCTGCTAGCACAGCCGATGAGATGAAACTGCTCAGCTTTGGGACTGGCAAGGGGATGTGCCCTGGGTCAGGGATGGGGACGGGAGGGCCTCCCTGTCTCTCTCTCTCTAATTCCTAGAGGGATCTGTCAGAGCTCCCCAGTCTGGAATCTTACTTTGTTATTTTAATGTAATTCTGACCTGGATTTAAATGGAATTGGAAACCCGAGGCCTTAATAAATAAATATTATGATAAGAAATGAAAGCCATGCAAGACGAAAGAGATTTCCCCCCAAAGAGGCAGAAACACAACATTCTTGCCCGTGCCATTCACAGAAATTTTTCTTCTTCTCTTCAGCCCCCTACCATCCAGTGAGAGACGAGTTGGTTTTCCATAAAAGATCCTCTTTTTCTTTAACATTTTTTTCCACTGATATGACAACTTCGAAACTTCTAACTTTGCATGAGGGTTAGGGGTGAGAGGAAGAAATATACAGCGTGGCTGAAAAGTTTTCGTTCTTAGTCTCTCCAGGCCACAACTTTAAGTTTCTGGCAGTGTTTAAGAGGAGACGCTCATACTTTGGAGGAAAAGAAGTCTTTCGAAGAGGCTTGGGGTGGCACTGAAGTCAGGCAGAATTGTATTCACCGCTCCCCCAAACTTCTCATTCCTCCGTGCCAACCCTGGCTCTTCCAGCCGTTCGCCCCGAGCGCAGCCCCCAGAGGTCAGGTCCCCAGCCGGGGAGTCGGGCAGCACAGGGCCCCGTCCTGACAGGAGCACGCTTCCCAGCACCTGCCCTACCCCTCGCAAATCGCGCCCCCGCCCTCGGGCCCCGCGGCCCCGGCAGTCCCGGGGCTGCGGGCCCCTCCTTCCTTACCTTGCGCGGCTTTGCTGTGCTGGGCGGCGCGGGCGTGGACCAGGAGGACCAGCAGGCAGAGCCCGGGCACGCGCCCCGAGCCCATGGCTGGAGCTTCGGGCGGCCGGGGCAGGTCTCACAGCCTGGGGAGGACGGAAACCGGCAGGGCCCCCGCGCGCTGCAGCGGGGAGAGGAAGGGGCGCCCCGCCCGGGTCGGGTCGGGGTCTGCGGGCGCGGGGTGCGGACCGCGACGCCCTCAGCTGCAAGCTCCCGATGCTGCCGGCTCCTCCTGGCCGGACGCTGGGGAGAGCGAGGCAGAGAGCGCGACGAGGCGAGGGGCGCTCGGCGCCGCTGACGGAGGGGCACCCCCGCCCTCTCCAAGCCGGGCTCTGCTAGCGGCGGCGGCGGGGCTCCTCCGTCTAATCCCACCCAATTCCCAGCTTCGCCCAGAGAGAGCTGCAGCCCAGAGAGCGCGCAGAGCCTGAGCAAGGGACCTGAGAAAGGGGAGGGGAAACGCCGCGCCAGAAACACGCCCTTTTTGCCTCTCTTTCTTCCTCACTCGCTCTTTCTCCGTCTCTCAGGCTCCGTCGCTTTTTCTTCGCCTTTCTCCTCCTCCTCCTCTTTCTCCTCCTCTCCTCGCTCCTTTTCGTTTTCTTCCTCCTCCCCCTCCTCCTTCTCCACCACCTCCTTTTTCGTGCTCTTTTTCTTTCAAATGGGGCCTCGGCGCGGCGGCCGCTCCCCCTGCGCGCCCGGGCGCGGCGGCCCCCTCCCCAGGCTGCCGGGCCGCTGCCTGCAGGAATTTACAATCCGGCGCTGGGGGAGCGGGCCCGGTCTCCATGGAGACGGCTTCCCCGGGAGCAAGGAGGTCAGGCACAGACCGCGCACTATCAATGGATCAATGCAAACCCCGCTCGGCTCCAGACCAAACAGCACCCGGCTCCCGCTCGCCCTCTCTCCTCGCGGAAAGAGTAGGGGAGCGAGGGTGCGCCCCGCGTTCGCCGCGAGGAGGGCCGTGCCGCGCAGGTTTTCACGCACACCTCCACGAGAAGACAAAGAGGACGTGAGGTGTCGGGGAGGCTGAGGCAGACGAGGACTCCCGGGCATTCTGGCGTGCCCATCGGCTCAGCCCCATGGGACTTCGTTACACTGAGAGAAGCACTCCCCAACTCTTAACCCCCACCCCTCCATCTTTAGGACTCTATCTCCATTCCTTTGGCTGAGTCCACTTTAACTGAGGACCAAGAAGAAAATGTCCTTCCTTCTGAACCCTGCTAAAACTGCCAGCCCCAGGCAGGCCCCCTGGCAGTTAAAGCCTGGAGATAGCCCACTGAGCCACCCTACCCATACCGACCGGGGCTCGCATATACCCACACTCCTCTGAGTTTAGCACAGGGGCAAAAGCAAATCCACAGAACCACAGCTGTGTGTGCAAACAAAGACACACACAGTGTGCTCCTCCAAACCTTCCCTTCAAGTTTCAAAGGATGGTCCTGATCCATCCATGCTTGACCCTCTGTCCCACCAACTGCAGAAGAAAGAGAAAAGATATGTTTAAAACAGAGTCAAAGTGTACTGAAGGTGAAATGTCCCCGAACCATCGATGCCACTCGCCTCCTGACTCACTGTGCAACTTCTCTCCTCCCATCATAGAAGAAAGTGGAAAGAGCTCTTGAAAGGTGGTGGGGCTTTAACCATTACATCACCAGGGTATCCACAGGAAGAGTAGGAGGATGGAAACAAACTGAGGCACGTGGGTTTCTTGTCCCAGCTCTATCCTGAGACAAAGATTAACTTTGAGTAAGTCACTTCTCAATGGGCCTCACTTTCCTCACCTGGAAAACAGGGAGGTTGGATTTGCTAAGTGGTGGAAGAGGGGCCTGGGAAGCCTGGAAGAGGTGGCCTTGAGAGCCCCTGCATGGCATGAGAGGTGACCACTGGGATGGGAGCATGTAGATCATGAGAATGGTGTGGAGGCCAGAGATAGGTTGGGACAGATGATCTCCTGGTCCCTTCTAGCCCTGTCACTCTAGGACTCCCTCCCCACTTCATTCCACTGGCAAGCCCTCCCCCTTGCAGCAGCTTTACATGCTGCCACCAATTATGTATAGGGCTGGGTGACAAGTGCAGACTTGCCATCCTGTCTGCCCTAAACAAGAGAGTGGTTAAAAAAAAAAAAAAAGAAAGAAAGAAAAGAAAAAGAAAGAATAGGAGACTGCCAGACTGTGCCTGATCTATATGGGAGCAAAGGGAGAGAGCCAGGGAGCCCGCCAAAGCAGGGAAGGGTGACTGCAATCTGACTTGCTTTGCTGTCCCTCTGCCTTGCTTTGGGCACTAATGTGAGCTCCTCTGAGTCCCTAAGTGTAGCCCCAGCCCACCCTCTACTCCACAGCTGAGGTGGACAGGGAGGACTCTGTAGGGGCAGGTTAATGGGTTATCTGGTGCCTTCTCTCTAGTTCAGTGTAATTCCCTGGTCCCCTAAGTGTGAACATTGCCCTGGCTTAGGGGGAGGGAGACTTGGGCAGTTGCCCTACCTAAGCTGCTACGTCTCTGGGAGTCTGGGTGTCTTTTTCCTCATCCTACCAGCTTTTCCTCCGCTCATTTTCTCTGCTCCTCTAGGACCAGGTGAGCTCTTCTTCCACATCTGGGCAGAAGAGGCAGTTCGCTGCCCTGTCCTCCTAATCTGATTTCAGCCCACCGCAGCCCTTTGGAAGGTTCTGTAGGGACAGAGGCAGGGCTTCTATCACTGGGGCACTATGAATTGGTCACATTACCCTCTGCCGTGTCTGCTTCTGCAGGACTCACAACTGGACAGAAAGAGGATGAGGAAGGAATAATGAAATAGCTTTTGCAAGTGGTGCTGCAAAAGCAGTGACATGCCATCGTGGCCACACCCTCACCAGCAGGGGCAAAACGTCCAGTGCTCTCTGGGCCTCTCACACTCACCTCTGAGGCTGCAGTTTGCTTCACTCTCCTTCAGGGATGCTTCTGACATCCATTTCATTCTGACTTCACCTGCAAATGTCTGGGAAGAGGACTGGGCTGGGAGTCAGGGCTGATATATCTCAATTCCCTTCCTGCTTAGGGATACCTCTGCCTGGTCCCCACCTACACTCAGGGACTTGCCCTCCTCTGCCAGATCTCCTTCCACAAGCCTTTGCTTTTTCTCTGTGCATCTCAACTTCCCCATCTGTAAAACAATTCTACTAGCCCTACTTCGACAGGCAGTATAGTCTAATGGAGAGCATGTATGCACTGGAACAACATTGTCCAAGGTCAGTGTCAGACCCTGCCATTTCCCAGTCATCTATCTATTTTGGGGGAGTCATTTCACTTCTCTGAGCCCCAGTTTCCTCATCTGGAAAAGGGGTATAGTCATAACCTCCCCCATAACTACAACAGTGTCTAACTGCACAGATTCTAAACAAACCTACAGTTCAAATTCCAGCTCTGTTACTTTCTAGCTGTGTGACTTCAGGCAGGTTACTCAATCTCAGTGAGCCTCAGTTTTCTCATCTGACAAAGCGCACTCACACACAAAGTTACAGTGTTAACTAAATGAGATAATGTATGGAAAACACCTGGCACATAGTAGGCATTCAAAAGTTGGAGGCTATTGTCGTTCTTACTTCCACTACTTCTCAGAAGGAGCACAGCCCAGTGTCAGGTAGCAAAGGTATTACTGTAAGAAGCAGTCTTGTGCCAGGCCAGGTTTTGATGTTGCTGGGTGTGAGTGCAGCCAACTGGACTCCATCTTACTACTTCTAACAGGTTCCTGTCTGTCACACATTCCTACTGAGAAGGTTCCAAAAATTCCATGCATTCCAGCACACTGCCCTTGTTGCCCGTACTTCCACACTGTGGAGAATTAGAGGGAAACTCACCTGCCAGGTAGTGTAGTTTTGGAATATCCCCTTGCCTCCTGCCTTGCACCTCTCACCATGTCTTAAAAAGACACAGACACTCGGAGACACATATTAGAGCTCATAGCCTCCATTTACCAAATGTTTTCTATGTGTCAGGCACTGTACCAGGAACTCCACCAGATGCCTATGAGGCGAGCATTGTTGTGCACATTTTATCGATATGAAAGCGGAGACTTGTGTAGGTTAAGTAACTTGCCCAGGATGACAGATTGAGAAGGGACAAAGCCAGGACTTGGGCCCAGACCTGACTCTGAAGCTTGTATACCTCCCCCCATCTCTACACTGTCTCCTCCGAATCCACAGAGACCCAACACACTCTTGACATTGTTACAGCCTAGTTGTTTGGAACAGGCTGAGGGTCGCAGACCAGCCCCTTCACACAGGTAGCAGGGCAGCACCCTTGTTCTGGGGGCTTATGCAGCAACAGAACTGCAGATTTGGCCGTTGTTAGCTGCCGATGAGTCAGTTGCCGACGAGTCGGTCACAACTCATGGTGACACCATGCACAATGAGATGAAACACTGTCTGGTCCTGCACCATGTCCATGATCAGATGTGGATTGGACTGTTGTGATCCATAGGGTTTTCATGGACTGATTTTCAGAAGTAGATCAACATGTTTTTCTTCTTAGTCCATATTAGTCTGGAAGCTCTGCTGAAACCTGTTCAACGTTATAGCATCATGCAAGCCTCTACTGACAGACGAGTTGTGGTGGTGCATGAGGTACACTGGCTGAGAATCGAACCTGGGTCTCCCACGTGGAAGCTGAGAATTCTACCACTGAACCATCGATGCCCCGTGGAAGACTTTAGTCATCACTTTTGTCTGCTGTATGAGTGGTCACAGGAGTTGCCCAAGGCCATATAACACATTTAAGAGGCAAAGGTAGAACCAGAATCCATGTCCTTCTGGACTTCTGACTCATGGATCAGTGCTCCATACCCTGTACCCTCAGAGCTGCCAGTCCCCCTTCCTCCAGTCCTCACTCTTCTTCTTCCTGATGATTTGATCAGTCACCAATCTGCCTGTCAAGTGCCAAATGGTACTTATCTCATGCCCCCTACACGCACTTTCCTAGGCCTTCTACATTTGGTGTTTAAGTATACTCAATCATGGCAACCCCGTATGTGTCAGAGTAGGAACGTGCTCCACAGGGTTTTCAATGGCTGATTTTTCAGAAGCAGATCACCAGGGCTTTCTTCTGAGGTGCCTCTGGGCGGACTCAAACCTTCAACTTTTATGTTAGCAGCCAAACTAACCATCTGCGATAGGGAGATGGAGAGAGAGAAAAAAAAAAGGTCAGAACAACAAAGACAATGAAAGAAATAGAAGAAGGGAGGGAGAGAGGGAGTTGTCCAAGGCTGATGGACAGTTTGACCCCGGTGTGTCCTTGTTTCCCAACTGTCCAGGATGGTTCAGGAGTCTCCTGCGGTATAGACAGGGAGAACTGGAGGTAATGCTCTCTCTAAGTCTGCTCCAGCCCTGGGGTTCTAGGAGTCATCTGCTCCCTGGCCCTCGGTCTTGCCTTTTCAG